GCTTTAATTGTCTTTGCAGCCAGATAACATTCAGCTTATGGAAAATTTGAATTAACATGGGAAAATACCTAAGTTTAATCCAACAAAACAGGATATGGAGTGGACATACATTATGCTATTGAATGAGTTTTCAAACCATAGCTCAGAAAAATAAGTTGGAATGTTAAAAAGATCCAGGTAGTACTCCCTGGGTAATAGAATCATGGGTGGTTTTTGTATTTAATGTGCTTTGCGCTACATTTTCTTGTTTTCTAGTGAGCACTATTAGTCAGGTTTTCAAAAAATCTTTTTTAAAAAAGTTTGTTTTCAAGTGGGGGCAAAGGGGAGCCCTACTTATCAAGCATACTAAGCCCACTGAAATTTGTCCTTAACTTTTCTTAAGCCTGGCCCTGGTCAGACATGGGTGCTTGCTTGCAGTCCCAGCTACTTGGGAGGCTGAGGCAGRAGCATCACTTGAGCTCAGGGTTTTGAGACTACCTTGGGCAAAACAGCGAGGCCCCAACTCAAAACAAAGGAAAATAAGCCTAGCTCTCTACTCCACTTTTTCTCTAACCCTTGTGTGGCCTCACTGTGAGGCCAGACATATTTCCTGAAGCATGGCCTCTTGCTCCTGCTCACTGCTCCTACTTCCACTCACCCTAACCCACTTTGTACATGACCACACAGCAATCTCCCAYTCCCAACTAGCATTCTTTGAACATAACTGTCTCACTTGTTTCCAAATCAGCAAGTAATTTTAAGAGTTACAATTAAACCTAGTAGAAATGGAAGGAAAAAGAGGAAAAGTAAATTAACTTGGATTATAGCACTACTTTTTCTTTTATTTTGATACAGGTATCACTAAGTTCTCAGGGCGTTGCTAAATTGCTGAGCTGGTTTTGAACTTGTTATCCTCCTGCCTCACCCTCTTGACTACCTGGGATTAGAGGCATGCGGCCTGGCTAATTGCTTTTTTTTTATTCAAAACTTACTATGGAATGTGATCTTGCCATTCCTTTCTCTATTAAATGACTATTTTCTTAATTCTTATTTTAGTATGTTTAATAGGTATAACCTCTCCAGTCATATATAAAAATGTAAAATTGTAAAAGTAAGTAAAATTGTAATTTAAAAATCAGAAATAACAAGAAAGGGAGRCTGGGGTTGTGGCTCAGGGGTAGAGCGCTCACCTGGCGCATGTGAGGCCCTGGGTTTGATCCTCAGCACCACATAAAAATAAATAAATAAAATAAAGGTACTGTGTCCAACTACCACTTAAAAAAAAAAAAAAGAACCAGGAAGTACATTTAAATTTGTTTCCTAAAATAACATTTCAATTAATCTCTACACTATGGATTCTTCCTTATTCATCTATCAGCCACTTTATTATACAATTTGTCATTTTGGCCAAATAACCATTTTTTAATCTGCCTGTTATATTTTTGATAAAACTATTGGTTTTTATAATTTATTAATTTGAGCTTATGTTGCCAATAACAGAGATGTATTAAAACTTTCATCTTAAAAGTATAATTCTACAYATTTATATCTGTTTATCATATAAAGMTAAGTATGTATCTAGCATATAAAATATTTATAYCTATAAATATATATTAAATTCATTTAAAAATGTATTGGAAAATTAACCTGAGTCTTATAATAGTTTACTTAATATAGTTTGAGATATTTATGATAAYCCAAATTCATCATGCCAGGCAGGAATTATCATATTCCTGTCTCTTGGTGTCCTTGAGGGCACATGCCTGCCTGAGTGGGCACACAGGTKCATGTTCACAGTACAAAATTCCTTTCCCTTCTCATTTCCTGTAACTAATGGGTTTTAATATGTCCTTTTGTAGATTTCAATCTTTCAATCTTGTAATACATAATTAAACTTAAAGATCCAAGACCTGGTGACTGACAGCTGAAGTTATCACATAAGTGCTCACTTTTTTCTTTTAGCTTTAAAAATATACATGCACGCTTGCTTTAAGGTCTCTGGTTATATTCTAGATCACTAGTGCTACAAAAAGTTTAATCATTGGAAGAGTGTARGTTTGCTAGAGTATGGAAGACTCCACAGATTCAATGACTTAGCTGTTCTACATGGTAAAAAAATAAAGGTATTYTATACTYATACATGAAAGTGATTCTTCATCAAAATAATTCAGATAAATCAATGAAACTGTTTACAAACTGAGACTGTTTTCAAATCAGTTCAATTATTGTTTGTTCTTGATATAATTTAATGTGTATCTATCTTCCTGAAGTTCCTTTGCAATTCTACCTTCTATTCTTTATCCCCTCATTTTTCCACCCCTGGTKGGCATCTACAAAATGTCTAGTAGCTTAATATTGGTTAAGATGAAATTTATTTGACTATCCTCATGTAGAACTCTATATCCAGTTATTTAAAGACAGMGTAATTTTTCAGTTGTCTGAATCATGATACAATATCTCACTAAGTCTTCAAAGTTCAACTGTTAGATCTACATGTAACAGCATAAAATTAGTACAGTATCACTRAAAAGGGCCTTAAAATCATACAATTTACACCCTTTAACTACAAAYGAAGAATTTTATTTACTTGTTCAAGGTCATACTGCTTGTTGGGACACAAGCCAGAGGAGCATCCCGATTTCCTGGTCTTAATTGTTTGGTCCATGATAAACTACTAAACTCTATTTTTTAAGATTTTCTTYTGTAACTATAGTAAATATACCTAACACAATGTTCCATCTTAACACTATTAATATTTAAGCTTGGCTTTTGGAAGGAGCAAAAGCATCCTAGCAAACTGCAGAACAACAAAGAACACAGGGTCCTCACATAGAGATTAAATCCTGTTTATAGATGGGAGAGATGTGGTGTTTGGATCAACAACTCTGCAGAGAAAATTTCCTTTTTCTTCCCACACACAGCTTGTGCCATCTACTGCTTAAAAGCCCAATTAGGAGAAAGGCCAGCTGGACCCTAATCYACTCATTTAATAAGAAAATCCTGTTAAATCTCCCTCAAACCAAGTAAGACTCAGTGACGAACGTGCACACACAGCAATATACAACATGATATAGAAAAAGTACCACCCCACCAGTGCCAGCATCCCCAATGAAAGTATTTYCCTTAATAAGAACAGCTCTTACTGTTTTATAAACACTTTCTGGGGGCATCATCCCAACTGCAAAAGGTGTTCTTGGTTCTACTCGGCTTCTCCTTTCACCATGGTTCAAGTGCAGAGACACTAAAATCTACCGCGATGCGAGATGTAAAGGATTCGCTTCGCAATCAATGTCCTGTTTTCTTTACTGTTTCAGATAATGTTACCAAGCATGAGTCACTTTCTCCCACTCACTTCCTGATTTAAACTTTCACTGCTTGAGAGTCAGTATTTAAAATTAATTCACTAACTGGAAGAAATAAGCCATTTGCTCTTTGGGTCCCCCCTACCCTCAACCCAGGGGCAGTGAAAAGTTTTATTTCATTTGGGTTAAAGTTCTCAATACAACCAACAATCATTTTTAACTCTTATATTTTAGAATGAGTCCTTTTTGAGTTTCTGCCTGTGTTCATGTCAGAAAACCATTAAAAAAAAAAAAACTCGTAAGCCTTGTATTTGCTGTTTATAAATTTTCTGATAACTGCAACTTTTCAACCCCCCAAACAGTTATTTAGCATAATCAGTGAGAGACTGAGCAATACAAAATTTTTCTTCTCTTCAGAGATGTAAATAGCCTTAAAAAAAAAAAACAAACAGTTTTCTAATCTAGGAAAATTTTGGATGATACTTATATTGTACCTGTGATCTAAGAAGTCCTAAATACTGTGTAAAAACTATATTCATTAATATTCCCAAAGAACTAAACTGACATGAATGAAGAATACAATTCAAATGACCTTCTTACTGGAATTATATAACAATCTCTGCAAGTTAGTGGACATGCCAGAAGCAGCAGCAAGATTTCCTGGTTCTAATTGTTTGGTCTATGATATACTAAGTAAACTTTGTCCTTTTTAAATATTTTCCTTTTACTTGTGGCAAAAGAAACTTAACATCATCTATTACGTTAACATAAAGAAAATTCAACATTTTAATTTACCTGAACACAGGTAAATTATMTGTGTATTTCACCAGCAAATCAGGTGTTAGATGAGATTTGTACAGGAGCAGAAACTCCATTCYGGTAGTTCATCAAACTACTTCCCTTTTCAGGAAGGACATGAACTTTCAGTTCACCACTCCAGTAAACTATCTGTGGCTGTGGCAGCCATTGACATTCCTGMATTTTGCTATTTGGATTTGTAATTTGTTGTACCTGGGACACAGCACTGCCCTGAGTGTCACAGCACAAAAGGTCTGGGCCATTTATTAATTACATAAAGCAGTAGAACTTGGAAAATCACTTAACCCTTCTAGACTGTTTCTTCTATTAATGAACTGCTTGACTAAAATGATCTCTAAATGGCCTCCTAATTCCAAAAMCAAGCCACTTAGTATTATATTGGGTATTGATAAGAAAACTTTAAAAATGAGAAGTCTGAAAARAGTTATAATCTGTTGAACAATTTAATACTTCCATATTAATGTCTTTCAAAGCATCATCTGCTAGTGGCAAGTTCATCTTCCATGTCTAATATTTTCTTTTACCAGATTAGAGAAGTTGACAGAAGAAGAGTATAAAATTTCTTCTTGCTTAGCCTGTAACCATTAGGGAGGCAGCACCAACATCTAGAGCAACAAAGAAYATTTCCTTCCTACATGAAGATCACATGACTGTGAACTTCCTATATCAAAATTRGCACCAGGTTTCTGACCCTTGCAACTGCAATAGAGAGATCAACAGAAACTACACAGAAAGGTGAACTATTCCCTCAGAGATGGCATTAGTGCCCACAGCTTGAAACTGCCTTAACTACTGGATGGGGTKATCTGACTCACTCATTTCATGGGTGCAATGAAATAGTTTTAAACTGCTGTTCGCTGGGCAGCGCTTGCCCTGCTGTGAGTTAGCCTTGTGCTCTACCTTTGTCTCCTGGTGYTGGTCCAGCTGTTCCAGTTCCACAGGGCTGTCTCCATTTTCCCTCTCTTGAACCTTGGCTTCCGCTTCCACTTCTCCTYCTTTAAGGGGGAGCACTGCGCCTATACTTGGAGTCCTGCAGCTACSGTCAGAAACATCTCCGTCATGGTCACTTGTGGGTGATGCAGAACTGATGGCGCTCTCATCTCTTTCTCCGTTCACCAAGTGTGTATCAAGGAAGGGTTCAGCAGTTTGAACAGGAGTARCTGGGCGACCAGTGGCTGCTTGAGCCTCTTCACATTCCATCTGGTTTGGTGCTGCCATTATACCATTGGCCACACAAGTCTGTTCGCCCTGAGTCTGGTCTGTACCATTTCCCTGCCTCTGYGGTGGGTGCTCGGAGAGGAGTTTTTGTGGAGGTGTGGGTGTTACTCCATGCCRTCCTGGGGTCCGAGGAGCAGTTAAGTTCACAGCAGAATCTTTCTTCATATCACCATAATTTGCTAATGCACTAAAAGATAAAATACAAAGGAAGAGTGAAAACATTGGCATGGAAGTCTGAGCACATAGACCAATTTATTGTAGTGGAAAAGGAACTTTCCCCGCTATCTCACATGGCTTTGGAAACATGGTACTGGGGATGCTATCCACATTTAAATAAATAGTTAAACAAAGATTATAAGCCTGGGTTTACCTATGGAATCTGGAGCATTTCCTTAAGCTGTTTAATAATATGACTAGTTAGTAAAGATGTAGGTGGAAAATTATTTATATTTAATAAAATCATCAAGATTTTTATTTCCCTTAGAACTTTAAAAACAAGCATAGCAGAGCTGGGTGTGGTGGTGCACACCTGTAATCTCCTTGGCTCAAGAGGCTGAGGCAGGAGGATTTTGAGTTCAAAGACAGCCTCAGCAACTTAGCGAGGCCGTAAGCAATTCAGCAAGACCCTGTCTCTAAATAAAATACAAAAACGGCTGGGATGTGGTTCAGTGGTTGAGTGTCCTTGGGTTCAATCACTGCTACCAATAAAATAAAGTAAAATAAAAATAAGCATAGCAGTCCCCAGTTTATGAACTTGTGGTAAACCAGAAAGTTATTTTTATTTGCATGGCAGAACACATTCTTAAAAACTTAATTTTCCATGTTGCAATACCCTCTAACTGGTCTCCTCAGTGGTCTGTTTCCACTCTGAATCCYCTCCAGTCAAATCAAACTCAGAGGGCTTTCTCACACACTTGAGGGTAAATGATATCCTGATGTTACCTTCAAGACTGTACACCCTCCACCCCCTAGTGACCCCAACTCACACATGCTCCCCTGACCATGGTCTTGCTTTATGCCTTGCTCTTTCCTATCCCCAGTAAGCAAATGTGTATATTTTGGGGTCACTGCAACTGCTGTGCTCTGCCTAGGACACAGGTGGCTTCTTCCTCCTCCTCATTTAGGTTTCTGCTCAGATTCACCTTTTAAGTGGCTTTTCTGATTGGATCCATCCAAAACAGCACACCCGTCACTATCTCCATATTTTATTCTTCCTTATAGACTTATTACCACTTGACATTATATAGTCCTAATAGTTCTAACAAGACAATGGAATCTCACTGCCAGTACAAATCAATGTTCCTATGTAAATACTTGCTTGGCATTTTAACTTAGGATTCCAAGATGGAAATGAGAAGAAATAAAAACAGACTAAAACTCTGCAAGGAGGCACATTGTGCTATCCTGTTCTCTGCTTTACTCCTAACTCTCTGCATAGTGCTTGATTTATGTGAAGTCCTCAATGAATATTTGATGGACTATGAATAATAATGATGATGACTGTGACAATAATACAATAACACAGACCATCACATGTTTACTAAGTCCCACAAGCTATGCAAAGCCCTTTACAGTGGTCGTTGTGTTTCATCCTCATAAAAACTCCGAAAGCAGGGACCAAAGGAAATCTAGGCTTAGAAAATTGCATGCAGTTGGGCACAGTGGTGCATRCCTGTAACCTCAGCTACTACAGAGGCTGAGGCAGCAGGATTGCAAGTTTGAGGCCAGTCTCAAGGCCAGAAACCTAGTGAGATCTTGTCTAAAAATAAAAAGGACTGAGGATGAGGCTCCATGGTAGAGCACCTCTAGTTCAATCCCCAGTACCACACACACACAAAAAAGGCATCTTGTGGCCAGTGTCACATCTGACAAGCACCAAAGCCAGAATTCRAACCGGTAAGTCCAACTCTAAATCTCATGATGATCTTCACCTATGTCATGGTGATGAATGAAATGAAGAACAGGTGAATGAGCTGCAGACAAAAAGACAAGGAACACTTTTGTTGTCTTGTTGCCCCTTAAAAGTAAGATGGGTCACCAACAGCTCTATGRAGACACCTGCAAAAATGTGGCCAGGGTTCTAGCTCTTGTCAAGTCTGCTCACACTGGTACAATGTGATCCAGAAATATGGCCTCATCATGTGCTGGCAATTGTTTCCATCAGTATGTGAAGAATACAGGTTTCATTAAGTTGGACTAAGTGATCTTCTTTGAATGGATTGCCCCAAGACAGCCACTTGATGAAAGACAACATGCTAGCTCTTTGTACCTGAAACATTCTAAAAAAAAAAAAAAAAAAAAAAAAAAAACTCAAGAAAAAAAAAGTGGGAACAAAGTCCAGTGCTGGTTATCTTCCCCAGTGCAGGTAGTGGGGGTGGGGAGCAATTCCCATGGACCATGCTAAGATGAGAGTTGCCTTCTCTCTTTGCTCCATCAACTCCAGCCACAGCTGCTATGGACAGGAGAATGGAAACAGAATACACAATAGACAGCAAGAAAGTGAGAAGGAGGGAGGGCGAAGGTAGGGGTCAAGACTAGCACAACAGGAAGAGAAGGAAAATTCAGTAGTGGAAAATGTTATACACACAAAAGTTGTAGGTGGCCAACACAAATACAAATGGAAAACATCACCCCTGATATTTGTCTTCTAGGAGAGTATATCCTTGGCCTAGATAATTTCTTCTTGGAGATTTAAGTCAAATTGTCTTCCTTATCATGCCCTCTTGGGTGCTTGTAACCTGGCAGATAGATTAACAGATCTGCTGAACCAAAATGAGGCAAGCTCAGGACTTTTTAGAAGGACTGCTTTGGATGATAGTTGGAAATTTCCCATAAGGGACATCAAGGGTATGTCTGGGGATGTGGGGATAGGTGGGAGGGGTTCGTAGAAACAGAAGTTGAACCAGTACTTAGAAGATTCCTGCTACTTTGTGGATTTCAAACCTTGGAAAAATCAGTGTTCACCTCAGCAGAAAACATTATTTATTTCTAAAGTCCTGAAATCTTCATAAATTAAAAAGAATGTTCTCTCTTACTTTGATAGAGATAGAGGAAAGGAAACCACACACAAAATAAATAAAATCTACTTGTTCCAAAATCACTCTTCCAATAAAACTATGACAGGTGAGGTCTTAACAGCAGTATGATAAGGTGCTCTAGACCATCCTGACCAGACTCTACCCTAGCATATGCTGGTTCTTACTGTCAATCAATTTCCTGCAGTAACTCAGTTGAGTGATGTTCCTTTAKCCCACAAAATGCTAGTTTGGGCTGTGATAACTGGGATTAAAAGTGAAAACCACCCTGTAGGTATATAGACATCGCTTAACAAAATATAAATACAAAGTTCCCACTAAAGAGCTGTAGACCCAGGGCCACTGTTATGGTTTAGATATTAGGTGTCTCGCAAAAGCTCATGCATGAGACAATGCAAGAAAGTTTAAAGGTAAAATGATTGGCTTATGAGAGTTTAACCTAATCAGTGCATTTATTAATCCGCCGATAGGGATTAACTRTATGGTAACTGAAGGCAGGCAGGGTGTGGCTGGAGGAGGTACATCATTGGGGTATGCCTTTGGGATATATATTTGTCCTTGGTGAGAGAACTCTTTCTCTCGGCTTCCTGATAGCCATGTCCTGAGCTGCTTTCCTCTGCAACACTTGTCTGCTATGATGTTCTGCCTCATCTCAGGCCCAGAGCAACAGAATTAGCCATCTATGGAATGAGAACTCTGAAACTATGAGCCTCCAATAAACTCTTCCTCCTCTATGTTGTTCTTTTGAGGACTCTTGGTATCATCAGAGGAAAAAAAAAAAAAAAAACTTGAGTAAAAAACAGCCAGTTTGTGCTGGTAATGCCTCATGGCAAACATATCATTATCTGTTTGCATTGGCAGGACTTTGCCACATGATAGTTGCCCAAACATGTTACACCCTATTTGCACTCAGAACACACTTGCTTAAAATGTCATAAAATATCGCACCTCTTTATTGAGATCAAACTTTCAAGCTTTGCATTAAGAATTGACTTTGATTGACTTTGAATTGGTATAGCTTGAAAGAGTAAAAGAAAACTGATATTATTAAGCAGAAAAACTCTGCATATTTCATGTGTAGAGAAGAATCCAAAAGCAATGCAAGGGGTGGGTTACCAAAATGGTGAGGATGAGAGGCCTCAGTCTTTGGAATACTGACCCTCTGCCTTCAGGTCTTCATAAAGCTATCCCTGAAAACCAGGGATGTGGGCTCTGGCATGCGATAATGACAGGATCTGGGCCCTAGCCCTCCTTCCATTAGGAAGTATCTGAGCATAGCTGCTAAAACCTGCAAACAGGAGGGATCACTTTTCTATTATTATTGAAGCAATTTACCCTGAGAAGCAGGGGAAAAAATCTTTTTAATTAAATTAAACCATTCTTGTAAAGACTGYTATCATTTAAGATAGCAAAGGAATTATAAATCCTACTTTGAGGGGGAGAGAAAGTTTAAAGATTTATGACCAAAGTTCGCACAATTGATTAGGAATGAAAACAGGCTTCTAAGTTACTCTTTTCCAGAATGTGTAGCTAACATGGTCCCATTTTAAATGAGGGACATTGCAGTTTTGTGCTTGGCCACAACTTTCAGGATATTCTGCAAGTATTTCCAACCTCTAATTTCACTACATAAATAACAAGAAATCCCATAAATAAAATGATCACATAATGGGAAACCATTCCCAAATATTGCACAGAAATGAATGAAAACAGCTTCTAGGACGAAAGCAAAGATATGTGTATATATGTGTGTGTGTGTGTGTGTGTGTGTGTGTGTGTGTGTGTATGCACACACACAAGCACACACAGATATTCTCTTACCCTTCTGATAAACATTTTAAATACAATTCTATTTAAGTCAGTGATGAGAGTTCTAGCAAAAAAAAAAAAAATTCTTTAAAGAAAAAAAGTTGAGGGTCTTATATATAGAAAAGCAACTTATATGGGTTTTTTTTAAGTGAGAAATATATAGTATTTCACCTGCCTTCCCCCCAGACATTAAAAAGAATATAAATTCTATCTGTAAGTACCAAACTAAAATTTAGCATGAGTTCTGTTTTAAGGAATAATATCTCTTTGAAAAATCTACCACAAGATGGTTATGGTGTGCAGGAAAATAGGGACTGAATGAATACAGAAGACTCACATTAAATAAAATGGGTCAGAAAAAAGAGAGAGCCATGGATGAGAAGCCCCCAGGAGTCACACTCCCAAACACACAAAGTGAGAAAAGCAGAGACAACTTTGTGTCCTTTCATAACCAGATGGCTGGTAATCCACAAAACAGTCAACAAGGAGTGACAGAGAGAGACATGCACAGATACACAGGAAACGAGAGCRAGCACATCTACACAAAGCAAATGATTTTATCCCTGGTGGCCTAGGGTGCTGTATGGAGGGAATGTACASAAAATGACAATTCACTCTAGGGCAAGACTAAGTTATTTTAAAAATGCACGTGCTAAAGGCCTACCAAAGCTAATGGAATTACATACTATTTTAATTCAGAAAACCTATGGCTTTATTATCTTTTCAAAGATTGATTTCTTCCCTCTGCCTTCGCCCATTGTTAACTCTTACCTGCCTCCTTCAAAGCGACTGATGAGATCTGAAACCTTACTGGGTTTTTCTTTTGAGACACAAGAAGCAGAGGCAGGTTTAATTTCCTCCATCCTTGGTCTTGCACTAGGTAAAGCTTTATGCCTGGGGGTTTGGTGTATATTGGACGAAGGCGAATTCTGCAGATGTAATGGCTTTGGAGGCACTGTAGAAAAAGAACAGAATTCAATATTCCACCAATACATTGTTCTTTAACAATAAAGAGTCTGGTACCCTGAGTACAAAAATCTTTAGCATTATCATACTGTTTGTAAGGGGTCTTTGCAATCTGAACTGAATCTTAACCAAGTGACCTTTGTCTTGGACATTTGCTTCATGTCCCATGGAAATCCTATTTCCAAATTTAGATAGTTCGTTTACTATTAATTCATCTTAAATACAGYATTGATAAACAATCTAGAAATATATGCAGGACTACAGCATCCCAGAGACAACATAGCAGTTATTCATTTAAACAGAGAAAAGAAGGTGCTAAGTTTGAAACTAAATCCTAGAGATAAACTATTGGCTACAATACAGATTTTCTAATTGAGTGATAATAACTATACCAGAATCCARAGCTACTGAGTTAAACAACACAAAACTCAACAGAACAACAACAAATACCAGCAATACAAGATTTCATTCACACAGCATTTCCCATTTATGAAAGCACTTTACCTCATTTGATCTTAGATAGAATTTTACACCTTATAGACCAGAGTCAGAGATAGGTACTGTTATTCACCTGTCATGTTTACGAACACTTACAGAAGTGATTGGCTTGGGGTAATAAGGCTAATCTAATTTGATGGCTGGTACCTAGACTCTAGGATTCCCATCATCAGTACTGCTCTTYCTTGTAAACCCAGCAAAAGGGGATGGAGGGACATAGAAGTACTTTTACTACTGTTTGCCACACTGTAGAGTAGGCTTGCATCGATATACTACAAATCATGTTTACTAGTAAGTTCTTCATTCAATTCACAGAACAGGAAAAGATTGGTTCCTGAGATACTAAAATCTACAGACATTCCTTAGCAGACTCTGGATATATAATCGGTATATAATCAGTACAGGTATTCCTTCACTTATGGAAAACCAATATAATTTTTCTTTAAGATTAACACTGAGGGTAAAAGTTTATAACATGTATTTTTCTATGACTGATTGTAACAGATCAAATAGAATTATCTCCTATTTCTTTCTTAAACCATTCCATCTTTTGGAACAAGGGTAAGGAATCATGTCGCCATCTAATTACATGCCCCACTTTGCCCAGCTGGCTGCCCTGGCTTTCAGTTATCTCATCTCTTATGAACTCAGCTAGCTGACAGTTGCTGGATGCACACTGGCCTAGATTTCATCACTCCTGTGCCAGTTATCAATTTATTACAGGAAAGGAAAAAATATATCACAATGAGCTACAGGTGGAGCAGTTAATTCATTTTATTATCTTTTAACATAAGAATGAAAATCCCTGAATGAAAGAGCATGCTTCTTCTCCTTCTTCTTCTTTTGAAATGAAAATAATATTGTCTAAGATACAGTCAGGGGAAATGGTTAGTGTAGTATCCATTGGAAAAGAAGGGGTTTACATAATAAGTGTGATGTGTTAATTTTAAGGAAAAAAATTCTCACACAGAAAAAAAATACAAAGTAGTAAAACAGGACACCATCCCCATACATACACACAGCAAAACACACCTTCAAACTTTAGGAATAATTTCAATATTTCTAACTAGAATATTGAAAGGAAGTGAATATGTTCTTTATAATTCTTTGTGCTACAATTGTTATAAAAGAAATCATCCATTTACAGTTGACTCACTGAACATTCYTTATCATGTGGGAGACACTGTTAGATACTTGAAAAACTGAAATATAAAGGCTTAGCTAGCTTTTCAGAGATGACTCTACTGACCTTAGCAAACTAATTATGCACCTCACCCACCCATACTGGGGTTGGAAGCCAGGGCCTCCTTCATATAAAGCACGTGCTCTATCACTGAGATACACCCCCTGCCCTACACCCATCTCTTAAACTGTTTCATAGTACTGTGTACCTTTTCTTCAAAGTGCTTATAAGTTTTATGCAACCATTAGATAACTAGTGACACATTAGTGACACATACAATAGTAACAAGTAACCAAAAAATTTAGTGTTTGCTGCTAAAGCAAATACATGATCACAATTATATTTACTGTAACTAGTTGTATACTGTGTTTAGTAAATATGTGAAACACGTATAGGCACTAATCAATGTGTCATCCAGGAGCTCATATACTAGTGGGGAAAACAGTTTAACCATGTTGATAAAGGTGGGTGCTGGATATACTGCATTTTAGAAACATAGAGGAAGCATCTAATTCAGTAAGAGAGATAACCCAAAGGCACAATAAATCAGTAATATACACATTTTAAATAAAGGAACACATATAGTAGATATGATAAATATCTCAAAATAGTTTACAAATGGCCAAAGTGTCAGAAACATCRTCTTAGAGGGAAACTGTCCTTTTGCTTGTCATTACTGGTCTATAATAAAACACAATGAATACTTTGCTCAAAAGACCTAACCAACGAGTGAAACTAATTCTTTTTCTCTCAAAGTTAAGCAATAATCAAGGAACATCTGCTGCAGATTTCAAAGGGAAATACATCTTGTATGCTATGTATTTTTGATGCTAAAAATTTGATTCTAAATTAAAAACCAAGAACTTGTGTTTCAATTTAATGCTTTGTATCAAAAGAAAGTAACAATAGCAGGACCAAGGAGGGAAGGAATTGATGCCTCAAATTATTGAAACTAAGTTTCTCTTCATGTTTCTCACTTCTGGGAAACCAAAGGAGCTATAGTGATCTTCTTTATCTCCAAGGATTCAATTTCTTTCTTTTCTGTTGCCTCGCTGTTCTCTAGGGATTTAAAAATATCCACCCCCTGTAAACTTTAGGTTGTTATCAATGCTTTTAGTGACTGCCTCTAAGATACACTTGCATTTCTCAATGAATCTCCATTCCCTCACCAATTCCTATTTCTGATCTTTTACATGGTGGGGTCAGCATTTCCAAGTGCTTTCTGGGCATCTCCTAGGTGCTCCATCAGCAAATCCAGTTCATTATATCTAAAACTCAATTTATTACTTCTTACAAAAGAGCTTCCCCTCCACCTATATTCTCCATTTTTATAAATATTTAACATCATTCATCATTTGTCTCAGAATCATTCATCAAATGCATATTGACCATTATACCCACAGACTAAATAGTGTTCTGGGCACTGTGCATATGTTCCTTGCCCTCACAGATGTACAAGTCCACCTTCCCTCTAACATTACTTCTCTTTATAAAATCATTACAAAGTCCAGCTGATTGTTATCTCTATACTAGCTGACTAAGGCTCCTCCTTTTCCTTCCACAGTTACTGCACTAAGGCCCTCTTATCTCTCACATATTCCCAGTGCCCACATTTAATTCAAAATAAACAATAAAAATGAAAGGGTCAGCAGTCAGGTGAAATCCTAGCTATTCAGGAGGACTGTAAGTTCAAGGCCAGCCTGGGCAATTTAGCAAGACCCTGCCTCAAAATAAAAAGGGCTAAGGATGCAGCTCAATGGTAGAGTACCCCTGGGTTCAATTCCCATGAATTCATGTTAACACACACTCATAGTTTGTGCCTAGAAGGTGAATTTTTCATGATCAACTTTTGTTATCAGTCTCAATAACTTTTATAAAAAGATGACAACTCTAATCAATTGCTATTTACTTGAGAATTTGAGACTCCAGGCTTAAAAATGATGATGATGATGATGATGATGATGATTAGCAATGTCTGCCCTGAGTGCAAAATAGAATATTTGCTATTATTTTAAAATCAATACATTAATAACTGTCTCATATTGTGAGTACCTGATAGCATATGAAATGTGACAGAGCATGCCCTCGAATATACTACTTTGGAATAAGGATTATTTTGAGCAAGACTATAGAAAAACAGCAAGTGTGAGAAGGACATGTTGCCTCTTTTTCTTCCTTAAACCAGAAGGGGTGGGGGAGGCCCTCTAGAAGCTGTCTTCCCTACACCAGAAGGAAAGTAACCTTCGTTTCACCACTGATGAGGAGTTAAGGCTAAGAAAACTGTACACACATAACCTGTTACAGTAACTCCTACTTTCTAGTTTTCCCTCCATAACTAAGGAAAAGTCCCTTGGTCTTATTTTCATAATTTATTATTCTTTATCCAATTTGGTATATAAGAATTCAGCTTCTTTAGGCCTCCATTTTTCTTATGGAGACTCCATGTACATGTAAAAACTATATGTGCATTGTATATATGTACATTGTGTGTATATAAACACACATATAAATTTATATATTTGTTATATAAATAAATTTTATTATATAAATAAGTACGTATTTATTATACATATTTATATTATATAATCTGTCTTGTTTCAGTTTAATTCTCAGGTCTAACCATAGACCCTAAAAGCAAAGAGGAGAAATTTTTCTTCCTCTACTCTTAGAGGGTCATGAACCAGAAAGAATAAATCTTCCTTTCTTACATATTAATACAATCCAGATTGTTAGTAATCTATTATAAAACTAAAAAGAAACCTAAAATCTGAAGCTAAAGAAATCATGATTTTAGCCAGGTTCGGTGGTGCATGCCTATAATCCCAGTGACTCGGGAGSCTGAGACAGGAGGATTGCTAGTTCAAAGCCAGCCTCAGCAAAAGTGAGGCACTAAGCAACTCAGTGAGACCCTGTCTCTAAATAAAATGCAAAATAGAGGTGGGGATGTGGCTTAGTAGTCGAATGTCCCTGAGTTCAATCTCCAGTACCCACTCCCCCTCCCCCCAAAAAAGAAAGATTTTATAAATAGACAAAGAATATTATAAAAGACCCCCCCCAATTGTACAATAGGGAAAAAAGATCATAAATTGTAGGCAAGATTTTAAGGCCAGAGTTTATTATTAATTCCTACTGGTATTTGAGACAATGAGAATGGAAATGCTTAATGTTTCAATTCCTCTTCCTCTTACTATTTCATTCATTCATTCATTTATTTCAGGTATTAGTTCTAGAGATATCAGGACAGTAATGTAACATCTAAAACAGGCAAAATCATTCCCACTAACAGTAGTTTAGCATGCAACTCCAAT